TATCTCTTCCTCGCTCCTCTGGAGATGAGAGCACATTCTTTACTCCCCTCCCTCCATTCCAGTCCATCACACCAACTGATGCATCCTGTGTGCATCTTTTCCTTGTCAATGAGAAGCCCCACCTGCAAGATGTAATTGGGACGGCTCCGTGAGGAATCCCATGTAGACAGTGTCCGAGGAGAAGAAACTGGCCCCACAGCCAACGAAATGCCGAAAAGGCTTCCGGCAAAGCTGACCAGTTAATGTGGGAGAAAGCAGCCTCCTTGCCTTGCCTTGCCTTGCCCTGACCCTGACCCTGACCCTGACCCTGACCCTGACCCTGACCCTGACCCTGACCCTGACCCTGACCCTGACCCTGACCCTGACCCTGACCCTGACCCTGACCCTGACCCTGACCCTGACCCTGACCCTGACCCTGACCCTGACCCTGACCCTGACCCTGACCCTGACCCGACCCTGGGATCCGGGACACCGAATCAGGGGAGCTCGCAGCCTGGACGGATCCTGAAACAAGGGTCGCGATTCCTCGTTTGCTTCTTTGCTAGGCAGATCTCTAGATGGCAAGAGAAAAATTGATGAAGGTGATCCTGCACAGACATTCCAGTCAATCGGAATATATTTCACCTGATTAAATCCACCTCCTGAATTGGCAGAGCTGTTGGATAGAAAAGTCTTTACAGTTTGGGAGAGAAGACAGTTTTATCTTAAGCTAGCTGCTCGTACATATGTCTTGGGTTTTAAAAAGAGGGATGTTAACGCTTCACTCCCTGAAATGGGCTGCTGAGTAGCATTGGATGGCTCTCGCGATAAAATTATCTATTTATCTTGTGATAACATTCGTTTTACCGGCCTTGCCTCCAGAAATGGGTTAAGGATCTGATGGAATGAATTTCCTGCCCTACATTTGCTATTATTTCTCCTGTTTCAATTTTCAAGAGTTTTGTGTTGTAGTGAAGAATAGAGAAAGGTTCTTTTCCCCGAGAAAATGATCTTAAAATAAACTCCTGTGTGAGAGAGACCCCAGGGCGGCGTGTGAGCTTGATGGCGTGCTTCAAAGATGGCCAAGCGTGTGGGGTAACTGTCAAATGAATGGCTTCATGAAACCAGAGATTCACGATTGCTCATCGCCTGATCTCTGCTTCCTTTCGATCTGCTCTCTTGCACTTACATTCTGCCCATCACGTTGAACCCCAGAGAGGAGACCAGTGACGGAGGTTCCCCCCCAGGACAACGGTGAGCTCCACCCCACCCTTATAGCTTGCACCCTTCCTTGTCCATCTTGGCAGTTCTCCAAGGGGTCCCCCCCCCCCGAGCAAGTAATGGACCCATCCTTGAGGGAGGGGGGAAGAGGAGGAACTAATGAAGCTCCTCTAGCTACAATTCCTTCTTTGGGAGTAGGAAGTGGGTTTAGAGGCCCCTCTTATGTTTTATGTCTTAATTTATTATTTTCTTTTAAACAACAAATTGTACAAAACAAAATTTAGACCACAAGAACATTCAAACAATTCAAAGTTCCTGAACATAGAACAAAAAGAGTATTTTATAAACACGTACAATCACTCCAGCATAATATTTTAGAATATACATTCTCCTAAAAAAATATGTATTACACGACTTAGCCATCTCTATCCAGTTGTTACCAGGTGTTGGACTAGAACAGTGTTTCTCAACCTTGGCAACTTGAAGATGTTTGGAC